GACATGCGCTGGATGTTTCCAGTTTCAAGGGAGTCATCAATCAGCACCACTCTATGACATGGCGCATTATCCATGAATATGAAGTCAAGACCGACAGCACCTCGAATCAAGCGAACATAAGGCTCAAGAACTTCATCTCTGTATCTTTGACCAGCCACAGACCCGTGTCAAAGAAATAGAGGTCTGTGCGGCCGTTCATCATGATGCCTGCCCATACCATTACTCTCCTTGAGGGAAAATGATGTCTTTCCGTTATGTTTCTTGGTTCAAAACGTGTTCCACGTTCTCTCCATATCGTTAACCACCGAGAATCACTAAACCGGGACTCGTCACTGAACATCACATTGGACCATTCTCCCACACTCCAATGTTGATGTTTCAAACTCCAATTCAAACGAGCGCGTTTATGCACAGACGTTAAGGGAATGCAAATTGCTGGTCTTCTGGCATACATGCCAGCATGATTGAGTCTCCTGTAAACAGTTTGACTCGAAATTTGTATTCCTGTGGCGACTGTGAGCGCCGAACCCAGTGCTCTGGCAGTACTGCTCCTCTGACGTCGCGCACTTAATTTAAGATATCGGTATTGGCAAGGGGTTGTAACTCTTGGTCGAACAGATACTAGTTGTCGGGTAACATCTCCCGTTCTTTGAAACCTCTGCCACAGTCTTGAGATCATAGACTGGTCCACATTCAGAATTCGATACACTTCGGTTTGTGATCGTGAGGATTCCAGCATTCCAACGATTCTCCCTTTCGTAAACATGTCCAATTGGCGTCTTTGTGCCATCATTCACCTTGTTTGATGGTTAACAACGTTAGTTCGCACAGCAGTTGCACGAAACTTGTCTGAACTGCCTCTGCTGAGTGAATCGGTTTCTCCGCGTTCCGACATGCGCCGGTGTTTCGCGCAGGACGTAGTCGACTGAAAAGTTTTGCATAAACCCAAAGTATCTTCTTTACCCAATTAACATCCGCAAGAAGTTTGGAATAATTTTATGAATATTTACTCCATGTTTTTCGCATTTTACGATTTCTGCTTAACTTTTGGACTGCAGTGTAAATTATTGTGTGTTTGGCGCCGTTCTCTGCATCCGCGCTGGAGAGTTAATATTTGTAAGCACGGGAGGGTGAGAGAAAACAGGAGTTCCTTTTCTTGGCAAAGACTACAAGTACGGCAGATCAGTCGAGAACGAGTTACAAGAAAAAGGAAAACTGTACAGGTGAGAACTTAACTGTAAAATCGCTTTCTTGCGAATGCCTCCCAAACTATGCGGACTATCTAAGAACGCTATACATTTTCAGAAAGGTCCCGTCTAGTGGATACCGAAAATAAAAAATTCTTAAGGTCTCAGGGGTCGGGTGCCTCTTTCAGAAAGGGGCCGCGTAACTCCGAAACTTACTCGAATTTTTGTTCTAAATTTTAACTTATGATAGAACCCGTAAAAAGGGACTTTCAACTAAATTTTCTTTGCAATGGTGTAATTTTGTGCACCAGGCGCCGCAGGGACCCGAAAAATAGGTAATCATGCCCTAAATAAAAAAAGTTACTGGAATTTCCAAAATCCGACTTTGAATTCAGGTTTGGCGTCCTTGAGTCCACCTTGAATCTGATTCACGTGAAAAAGGCACACTTACTGAGGAAATTTTCGAAAAAGATTAAAAGTAAAAAAAAATTTTTAAAAAAAAAACCAAGCTTTTACTTAAATGCTCTAAAAAGAATAAAATAAACTTCTTTTAAAACTTTTTTTGCTATCAACTTATAAAGTCGTTACACAATTTATGATATAAAAGCCTGTCGCGAGATTTACCTGTGTAGATAAACAAGGAAATTAAATAACTTGATCTGATTGATTTTAATTTTTAAAATTTTCAAACTAAGTAAATACGAGTACTTAAATCTCGCGACAAGCTTTTATATCATAAATTGTGTAATGACGTTATAAGTTACAAGCAAAACAAGTTTTAAAAGAAAAGTTTATTTTATTCTTTTTAGAGCATTTAAATAAAAGCTTGTTTTTAAAAAAGTTTTTTTTTACTTTTAATTTATTTTCCGCCAGGCCACATATATATGATAGATATTTAAACTCCGGCCGCAACAGAGGATAAAGGAAAGGGGGGGGGATCACTGTTAGACCAAAACAACATTAGACAAAGCAAAATTAATAAAAATATTGAAGTTCTTTTTCTTTTTTTTTTTGCTTTTGCTTTTACTATAATAGTATATTAAAAACGAAAAACACAATTTTTTTTTTAAATCAGTAAACCAAATTTTTAAATTTTTGTGCATAACTTGTATAATACTATTTAACAAAAGAAAAAAATATTTTCGTGCGATTATACTTAAAAAATGACGAACTTCTTAAACTTTTCATTAAAAATTTAAGTATTTTTTGTCAAGTCGTAAAAAAAAAATTAGACATTTTATTTTTTAAATGGTTGATCCTAAAATAGAAAAGCCTGAACTTCCTTAGTAACGAATATCGATTCAATAACACGAAAAAAAATCATGCGGAACGATTCAGCAAAAATCCTTTTCATGAAAACGCATCGATTTTGACTCATTTTAGAAAAAATTGTAAAAAAAACAGAAAATATCGTTATTTTTAAAAAAGAATTATACCTTTTGCAATATTTCACCCCAAAAATTACTTTAATTAATATCTACACTATCCTAATTCGAAGATAAACAGACGTATGCGACTATAAGACTAGGTGTATCTTGTCACGACGCAAAACGCGCCGGCTTGGGAACGATCCAAGGTAGTATCTCTTTTGACCATTTATATTGCAAAAGTGCAAATAGTTATAAAAAGATATTAATTAAAAATCTTAAAATGAATAATTATTACCAATTTTTCCCGCCAGGTGGCGAAGTTCCAATTTTCTCACCTTTTTTTTCATCCCCGACGTTTTTAAAACATAATCCAATTTTTTTATGAGACTCAGTCAAAAAATAATTACAGAATCAGAAAGATAATTTACTTCGCCACGATACGAAATAAATTATTTTACAAAATAACAATATTTTCTTTTTTTTACGATTTTTTCTAAAATCAGTCAAAATCGATACGTTTTTATGAAAAGGATTTCTAAATCGTTCCAATTGCATTTTCTTTTATGTTAATGAAATAATATTATATACTAATAAAATTCATGCTTTTCTCTTTTAGAATCAGTTATTTAAAAAATAAAATGTCAAAGACGTTTTTTTTACGATTTTTCAAAAAATAATCAAAATGCTATTTAAATAATAGTTTCTTTATTTATAAAAACAATCTCATGAAACATTTTTTCCGTGTGTAGAACAATATTATCTGCAATGTACACAATGATTGAAAAAATTGCTTAAAAATTACGGTTTAAAAAAATTGTGTTCTTCGTTTTTTTCCCTTTTTGCGAGAAATATTTAAGCATTATTTTTGTTAGAGTTTTTGTTTAAAAATTACTGTTGTTTGTAGTCGATATATGAAGTTTGAAGGCATTAACTTAAAAATGAAGCCCGAAAAAAATTTAGACTTTAACAAATAACGCAATGCGAAATTGAAAATCTCTTCCTTTTGTTTCAACGGTCTTTTATTAACTTTTTCCGAAGATTTCGTGGATTGGTCGCTTAGAACGCTGGATTAGTTACTTTTGTATTCGCGTTCGAAACAACATCATCGCTTAGTTTTTAGAATTTTTTTTAAAAATATACTCAAAATTTAATTCGTGCATCTAATAACTTCGCCAGCAATTTTGTAATTGGAAGGATAATTTATTTCGTCACTATACAGTATTTTTTTTTAAAAAAAACGATACTTTACATATTTTATGATTTTTTTTCTAAAATGAATCAATATCGATGTGTTTATATGAGAATGAGTTTTAAAAAATTCACACTTTGATCCTTTACAATTAGTGATTTAAAAAATAAAATGTCGAAAACTTTTTTTTTTTTTTAGAATTTCATTTGCGCAATAATTCATTACTTTTTGTGCCACTATATGGCTGCACGTATCAAGCTGCTTAGGAATCGGTAAATGGTCCCTTACTCGAGAGCTCTAATATCGAGAGGGGGGAAGGGAATTTCCATGACAATATGTTATGCATTTAAAAATGTTCGTGCAACGCCGTAGAGGGAGGGTATAAACCTGTCTGACAAAAAAAAAAAAAGAAGAGAAAAATTTCGAAACATGGAATTTTAAAAATTATACACTCGGTAAAAGTCCGAGCAATGCAGGGATATTCGGAGGAGGGGGAAGGGGTGGAAGTCATTTTGAAAAAAATTATTAGAAGTGCTGATTTTGTGAAGGAAAGGGAAAACTTATAAAAGTAGAGAATGCCAGTGCAACGCCGGGCCATGCAGCTAGTCTTTTTAACTAATTGCGACAATGGAATATAAATGGTCAAAACATGCATTGTCATCCAAACTAAACGTGTATACAAAATTTCAGCTCAATCGGTTGAAGACAGCAGCTTCAAAATTGAGTCGCAAAATTCCACCCGAACATTTTACATTGCAAGTTAAATAAAAGCTTGTGTGTGTGTGTCAAAATATAACATACTTTGTACGTATGCTGAGTGGAAGTATTGTAAAATGTCTTGTACAAATCAAACAAATTTCAAAAATATTTTACATGAAACAATAAAATTTGGAGGCGCGGGGTATCAATCCCCGTACCTCTCGCATGCTAAGCGAGCGCTCAATTTTCAGAGCTACGCCCCCGTTTTATTTGTTATTGTAAACATGCTCGCGCCTTAACACTTGAACAAGATCATTGCAGTAACTAGGTCAATTAAAAGTGTTACGGGGGAAACTAGAATCGAGTAAATAGATATCATAGAATGTTTCAAAGTAAATAGAAATAGCTTGATAGATCAGCCTTTCTTAGTGTTCCCTCTAAAACAGTAAAAGTATAACATACTTTATACGCATGCTGAGTGGAAGTGTTGTAAAATACCCCGTTGTACAAAATTCAAACGAATTTCAAAAATATTTCACACGAAAAAGTAATAATCGGAGGCGCGGGATATCGATCCCCGTACCTCTCGCATGCTAAACGTTCACTCTACCATCTGAGCTACGCCCCCGTTTAATTTGTTATTGTAAACATGCTCGCCTTAACACTTGAACAAGATCATTGCAGTAACTAGGTCGATATCGGAATATAAATCGTCAAAATCTACATTGTCATCCAAACTAAACGTGTATACAAAATTTCAGCTCAATCGGTTGAAGACATCAGCTTCAAAATTGAGTTGCAAGATTTCAGCCGGACAAATTACTTTAATTAATACCTTTTTAACTAATCGTGATATCGGACTTTGAATGATCAAAACATGCATTGTCATCCAAACTAAACGAGTATAAAAAATTTTACCTCAATCGGTTGAAGACATCAGCTTCAAAATTGAGTTGCAAGATTCAACCCGTGGTCCGTCGCCAAAAGCTCTCGTGCGACGTTAATATTCAATCAATCAATCAAGCAAGCAAGATTCCACCCGAACAAATTACTTTAATTAATATCTTTTTAACTAATCGCGATATTGGACTTTGAATGATCAAAACATGCATTGTCATCCAAACTAAACGAGTATAAAAAATTTCATCTCAATCGGTTGAAGACATCAGCTTCAAAATGGATTTGCAAAATTCCACCCGAACATTTTACATTGCAAGTTAAATAAAAGCTTGTGTAAAAAAACGCCTTTTTTACGGGACTTTGAAATAATTTTGTGAGTTTTTTATAAAACATTTAAGACCCGTAATTCCTATACTAACGAACAGATCGAAAAGAATTATACAGATTCGGTAAGGTCTCGTGGAGTACATTAAGAACATGTAAATTTTAAGGTTTCAGTCTCAAAAGCGGGCCCCCCAGAAAGGGGTTAGCTGATCGACCGACGGGACTTGGGGGGGGGAGTGGTCCGGCAACTCGGGAGCTTATGAGAGTTTTTCACGAAAAAAATACCACGGGTAAGGCCCGTCGAGGGGAGCACACGGTTCAATTTTCAAAGCTCTAACTCAAATAGGGGGCACCGAGGAAAATCGGGGTTTTCATTTTTTCGCACTTTTTTCAAAGTCCAATTACAAACGAACTAATAATACTTTTTAAAAAACTTATGCATTTTCAAAAGGGTCTTGTTGTGCTCTTTCAGATGATAAAAAATTATAAGTTCAAAATTTTGGGAGTTTTTTTTAATTTTTGAGTACAGTAATTAATAAACTATTTAACAAGAGGCACTAAGAAGGTATTTAGAAAAAATATATAGTTTCTTTGTTTTGTTATACTTAGGAAAGATAGAATTCTGTTCTTTTCGGCACGACGTACTGTGTGTGGAGTTATTGAAAAATAATATAAAAAGATGTATTATAGTATATTTAGCTTCAGTAGCAACTTAATCCATCAACGGCTCACAGTTAAAATATCACTCAGGAATCTATTAGTTTAGTTTTTCACCACGTTCTGAGAAGCAAAAAATATATAATTGGCATCTATTTTGTAAGACCTTTGTTAAAAGCATGTGATTGTAACACACATCGAGTGCAATGGTCGCCTGCTCACTGAAGTGTGCCAAAAGAAGATACATTTTCTTAAAATATGCACTTTATTATGAATATGTAATCACTATCTACACTCATGTCCATAAATTAAGGATAATTCAGAATCACACAGAAATTGAACTCTAAAATAAAAATTTCACCTGTAAAATTATCACACACATCTTGAAGAAGAATATGCAAATTACAGGAAACCACCAGATGGCGCGGATAGTACGTCACAATGACGAGAGTGTAAGAGAGGAGTAAATAAGGAATGGTGGCAAAGAAGTAAAATTGTTCACAAGCGCTTTAAAAGCCTTTCAGTGCAATGACCGCATAGTTATGGCACAAAGGAAGCATTTGGATGACGTGGTAGAATTATTGGACGACTGGAATGTGGACGTACCCAGCTGGAAGTATCCGAGGAACTTGGAATCGCCCAAAGTGTCATCTTCAGGCTTTGGCAACGATTCCAAAATGATGGTGATGTGAGTAGATGTTACAGCACAGGTCGCCCCCGAGTTACAACGCCGAATGAAGACCGGTATTAGGCAGTTACTGCCAAAAGAAACAGACGGAGCACAGCATCAGACCTGTCTCGTCAGCCCTCTTCAGCTACCGGTACGACAGTTTCAAAACAGACCGTGTACAGACACTTACCGCAACTCACTGTCGCCTGCGATTAACCTGGAATAGAGAGCATACATTAAGAACACCACAATAGTGGTCTTGTGTGATGTTTTCTCTCTCCGACGAGTCCAGGTTTAGTTTGCAGTCTGATTCTCGCCGGACTTTAATATGGAGAGCGCCAGGTACCCGTTACCGCCAAGAGAACACCATTGAACGACACCGATACGGTGGTGCAGGATGGCTCGTTTGAGGAGGAATTATTCTTGATTTCAGAACTGATCTGCATGTTCAGAGTGTAACGATAACAGGCCACATCTATCAGGATGTCATTCTGGAACAACATGTACGTTTGTTTCGGGGCACCATGGGTGCTGAATTTCTGTTTATGGATGACAACGCCCGTCATCAACGTGCAAACATTGTAGACGAATGCCTTCAATCGGAGGATATCACCCGCATGGATTGGCTAGCATACTCACCGGACTTGAATCCAATAGAACATGTGTGGGATATGCTTGGCCGACAAATTGCAGCCCGTCAACCCCCTCCCACCTGTCTACCGGAACTTCGGAGGGCATTGCTTGATGAGTGGTGTAATATTCCCCAAGATCCGATTGATAATTTGATACTCAGCATGCCTAGGCGTTGTAAGGCCTGTATTGCATCGTCCGGGAGACATACTAACCATGTTATACTGTTTTCTGTAAATAGGTTCTTTTTTGAAATTTGCTCCAGGGAGTAAAAATCGCAATTTTTTATTAATATAGCACCTTTTTTGCTATTTACCTTTTGTTTAATAAATAGACTTTACAAATAAGTCAAATTTGTTTTGCTGCTGTCTCTTTCTCTTTGCCTGAACTTCATTATCCTTAATTTATGGTTATGAGTGTAAAATAGACCCAAGAGCTATTGAAGCATGTCAAATTAAGTATAAATCTAAATATCTTTATAAATATTCTGTGCATGTGTATGTGACTAACTCCTTTTGTGTTGTGTGCGTTCAAGTGGATTTGAGAGTGGTTTAGATTCACAATTCGGTCCGATATCGCAATTAGTTAAAAAGATATTAATTCAAACATTAAAAACATTCAACTCAATATTCACCTACATTGTTGTTACAACGTTATTGTTATAAAAATGACGTAAGTTGGCGTCGAAAATCGATTTTCAGCCAAACTGGCCAAACCGGGTCTTCATTGTTACAAAAATGCAGACGAATCCTGCTTTTTAGCTTTTTTTAATTAATATCTTTTTTCTGTGCGTGTGTATGTGACTGAACTCCTCCTAAACGCCTGGACCGATTTTGATGACATTTTTTGTATGGGTTCAAGTGGATTCGAGAATGGTTTAGATTCACAATATGTCCAATATCGCAATTAGTTAAAAAGATATTAAAAACCTAAAAGCATAATTGTTTTACCCCTGTGTGCTGTTTATTCTGCTAATGCGCGGCAAGGGAAAAAAGTAATAAGAGGGGAGAATTTTCCAATATTTTCGCGGTTTTTAAAATTGCAATCTAAATTTTCTATCAAAATCAGACAAAAAATAATCACAGAATCGGAAAGATAATTCATTTCGCCACGATCCTGCATATATCTTTATATATAATTCTTTTGTGCATGTGTATGTAACTGAATTCCTCCTAAGCGGTTGGACCGATTTGGATGATATTTTTTGTGTGGGTTCAAGTGGATTAGAGAATGATTTAGATTCACAGCTCGGTCCGATATCGCAATTAGTTAAAAATGCGCCAAAATTATATAAGGGCGTGTGATTGTTCATAAAAAAATCATGGGCAATATTCTTGAGGTCACTATTTTGAGCGGCAAACTTCAAGGCGAAGTTGTACTTCTACCACAGATCTTAATGATACTTTCAGACTCCCCTACCCATTCAAATGTTTGCAATTTCCAATTCGCTTGGCATTTGCTATGACCATTAATAAGTCACAAAGTCAAACAATGACAATTTGTGGCTTAGATTTAAAAAACCCTTGCTTTTCGCACGGCCAATTATTTGTTGCATGTCCGAGGTTTGGCAATCCATTGCATTTGTTTATTTATACCCCTCAAGGATTAACCAAAAACATTATACATTTAATGGCATTATTATAAATTTATTTTTTGTGCATTAAAAAATATACCTGTTATGAAAATAACTCGAGTTTTATATTTTTTTACCCTTTAATAAAACGAAGTTAAAATTTCTATTAAGAATAGCTTCTATATTCAACTTAGTTCACAGTAAATACGCAATCAATACACGCAATCGATCAGTCACACGCAATCGATAAGTCGAATTGTGGTAAATGTACATGTGATGATGTCAGACATTGTAATAACTTTCTTTAAGAAATTTCAGATTGTTACAACTTATTCAAAAAAAGTTTGTAATTTTCGGATTTAAGACGTGTGTGCAGGACAACGTCTGTCGGGACCGCTAGTCTCAAGTATAAATCTGGTACTTATATCGTGTGAGTAGCTGATCCTCAGCATTAATAAGAATCTCAGAGTGGCCCATCGAATCCTTTCACTTGAACTACGGCAACCTCTAACTACTTAGATTCCATACGACAACAATCACCATCCTCTTCGCTTGATTTTAAATTCAACCCCAGCATAAATCGCAATTTCTCCACAGAACGCCATCGAAGTAATCTTCCCCAAAGGATTAGTAAGAATCGCGAATAGAGCTCGTTACACACAATATTTTGCAGAGGAAGAGAAAGAGGTCCAAACGTTTTTTATTGTTTAGTGAATATGAAAGTTTTAAAAGTAAAAAAAAAAGAACTAATTATAACAGAATCGAAAGAAAAAAAAGATAAATAGACCAAAAACTACAATTAAAGTATAGTTGCTTCAGTTTTTTAAATAATCAGAAAAACTTTCATTTTTTGTTTTAAATTTAAAAAAAAGAC